GTAATTTATACATTTATCTTGCAGGCTAGATTTAGATTTCTGACCATTTGAGGATTAAGGGCCTGCGCCTAACTGAATGAATCTTCTTTTTTTCTGTAGAGAAAGGGTGATTATATCTTCTTTGAATATACACCGTTGCTCAATTGCCAACCAAAACTCTTGGAAACTTGACTTTGTACCACTTGCAGTATTCAGAATTCCACGTTTCCCAAGGTAAGTGACGCTGGAGGAGAATTCGACTGATTCCTCAGGATAGAATGGAGCAGTAGTGGAGGTACACGGACCTAAATGCAGTGAATATTAAACTCCTGGTTCCTAAAACTCCGGAGAAAAGTAAAAAAGACGCAGGGAAAGAATATGTCGTATGCGATGCATGAATAATATCTATTGTGACTACATAGCTTATACGTGCATACATATAACACATACAGATAGGCTGCTTTCATAGTTCACGATTTGGCGAGCGACCTATCGAGCGAGCGACCGAGCGACCGATCGCTCGGCGGCGCAAATGGATAACGCCGCCTCCTCGACCATTCGCGCGACCGGTCGCTCGCCAAATCGTGGACTATGAAAGCAGCCATAGGCGGAAAGCAACTTCAGAGAAATAGGCTTTCTGAAAGTCGAAGACGAAATCGATATAAATTTCAAAAACCTTACCCAAAACATAGGTTGGCACCTCGAATTCCACTTTACCAGTCAAAATTTTTTCGTTCTCGTCCGCATTCGAACCAAAAAATTCGCCAACACAGAACAGCATATCAAATGGGCCATTCTGAAATCGTTTTTTTGTTACTCTCTCACAACTTATAATCATTTGAAAGAATTCGAGATGTACCTTTTTATTGATAACAGCAATTTTTCTAGCTAGTTGCTCAAACTCGCCACGAACATCACCAACGCATAGGACTCTGGCCTGGTCTTTGGACATAACCTAGACATCAATCTACTGGTTTCACTCTTGAGTTTACTTTAGGCGATCTATTCAGCACTGAAAAAATGATTTTTCTCATAATTTTCCTAACGAAAGTCCAATATTGGAACTCTCGTTAGTCACTTGAGGTCCTCTATTTTCCAATCCCGCTCTGCTGGAGCAGCTTTATCAAGAAGAATCATTGAGAGCGACAAGTGTTCCCCTTCGGGAACGCCAGAAGTAACTAATAACAGAAGTTGTAATGAAGGTATTCAAAGATAAAATCAACAAGAAATGGTCCCACCATTCAATCAAAATAAAAAATGAAAATGTGTTCAGCCTCTTTATTATATTAAGACATTAAAGTAGTACTGACTACAACCACAGAGTTTGAAATTAGGCAGACAGACGTTAGATTCTCTTATCTGCTTCTAAACACGTAAACCAAGGTTGTGACCCTATTCCGTTAGAGCCCAAAGCGAAATGAGCTAGAAGAGATCAAATTGTTTGAGCTAGTACGATTGGACCTTCACTCGTCAATGGAATCGTGAGCTTGTCGATCCTGTCCAGGGCAATAGCTATCGAGCTCATCAGAATTCTCAAATTGACAACCACACCAAATGCAATAGCGGTGTGTATAGCGGAGATAGCGAGTTATGCGGATCAGCCTGAAACGAGTGCGATCAATTTTTGGTGAAGCAAAATTACAATAAATCACCATCAACTAACATAAATTTAGGTGGCATCAGGATAAAATATACAGTAAAAGCTAAAAATACAGAACAGCTATGGTTACACTCAAATTATCCTACTATATATAATTCGCTAAGTGTGCTGTTGGCTTGTCTGTTTGTGTGTTGCGATTACTACAACTTTGTCAAAGAGGGAGGTAATTCCGGCGAGAGCCGGGCGAACCGACTAACAAACTTAGCCACTTCCTTCTATTTGAAACTTTTGACAGTCTTCAATACAAATGAAACAAACAGCTGACCAAGTTAAAAGGAAACAATCGATATAACAGAAAAACAATCCCACTTTTCATGGAGAATTTCATCTGGCAATTCGTCGTATCTCTCCTCCTCAGGAGCCTCCTTTCCGTTTGCGTAGTAGAATCTGAACGAGCACATATCATGACCCTATTGGTGATTTCTCTGACTCCACCTGGGTAATAATGATTGGGATGGCACATAACCTATACTCGTCAACATGGTGCAATAGTAGAACTTAGGAAGTTGGAAAAGAGGGCAAAGAATTTTGAGTCCATAAAGTTGCTCATTAACAACGTCATGGTGACGATGAGATGTGCAAAGCCAGTTGCGTGCGCTGCGAGTCTACTTACTCGCCAAAGGCTCTGTTTATCCTGTCCTCTTAGGAAATGTCCTTAAACTAAATCCATTTGCCGCAGCCAGCTCTCTTCTGATTAAATGATGGTTTTCTGATGCATTTTCTAAGAGAATGGGATATGCTAAACACTATAACTTGCAGACGCGACAATAGTCACACCTTGTTCTAGCCTTTCACCTATACCATTTAGCCGATGCTACCTTCGTACGCCACTCATCCTAATCTTATAGCTAGTCCCGACAAAATTTCTGCATGTTTCCAAGGTTCTCGTTTCGTATTTCATGAAATGAAAGTCTTCAATTCCAGGTTTACAGTCTGTGAGAATACATATGTCANCATATGTCATAAAAATAAGAGCTGGAACTTACCTTAGATCCTCGTTACGGTCACCGTCTTCTCCATAGCTACTCGATCCAACTCGACAATCCACGCTTTCACGCTTGATATAGCTTTTCCAAAACCACGATTCTTCCGGCTGCTCAACGTTCGCCCTGAAAATGTATTATACGAGGAACAGAGACCAACGTACGTAAATGCCCCACCTGAAATTAATACAAAAAGCATTTTAGGTCCAACTTACCTCAAGTCCAGCTCAACGCATATTTTCCTACTAGATACGATATCTTTAATCAGATCCTTTGTATTAGACATTTCCCGTTTCCTCTTCTTGTATTCTTCAGTCAGTTCAGCCTAGAAAGGAACAGCGCGTACAATACAAAGAGATGGTTGAAATATTATACTTCCTTCAAATCCCAAAATAAGTAGAGTATGGCAATATGCAAAAAAAAATTTGCTTTCTCAGAGTAAAATGATTTCAAATTATTCAGACCTACAAAACATCGGTGAAACGAAGCTACCCCTCAAAAAAGTGATCGATTTAGCGCAAAAGCACTTCGTTGCTTGTTCCATGCTATAACAACGGAAATACATGCAAGCCCGAATTTTTCGGTCAAGATTCAGTTATGCCTTCAACACCATATGCTGACCCACTGGGAGCATGGCTCAGAATACGATTTACTGAATGAGGAGCAAACCTTAGCCATAATACGAGAGATGGCTTGCCCACCTACTTGACAAATGAGTGTATAGGCAACGTCTGCTCTGGATATACAGCTGTAGATTTCGGAATATCTCGAAGTACGATTGTTACGATCATTATTGTTATTTATTGTCATAATTTGAATTTTTCTATTTGTTTTTCATTTTGGTGCAGCTGCATTATATTATACTGGGCGTACGTGTTGCTCTGCTCGCCGCTTCATGCGTTCCATTTCTTGTTGAATCCTCAATTTTGCTTGCTTCTCCTGCTCATTAGCATGCCCTAATCCCGTTCTCGTAGCCTTCACTTCGACAGGAATAGGCTCCGTAATACCAGATCCGAGATCGTTCTCTAAGAACAGCATTTCTTTGTTCGTAAAAGAATTGAGAAATGTGAATACTAAATTGAATGCATACCGTCTTTCTTTTTTCCCAGGCTCATTCCCGGTTTAAATCCCATTTTAGCCAGGAGCGCAAAACCCTTGGATGTTTCCGGAACCGGCTTACTCAATGCCTCTTCGCGGAGGGCCTTTTCTGGAAATAGATGCTTCGATGCACTGAACTTTGCACTCATGCTATGACCTATGTTGAAATGATTTAACAAAGAAGAAAATAGAGACAAAAAGAGTGTAGTAAAAATGACCTTAAATGAAACCTAAGCATTAGAACTTAACGCACCTAAGTCCCGTTTCTTCTTCGGAAGTGGCCACTCATCCTGTCTATTCTTCATCTTCTCTACTTCTGCCTTCACCCATCGCTTGTGCTCCCGACTCGTTACTAGGCCTCAATCATCAATTTCGTTTTAATGGAACAAATCAGCACTTAAGAGACAATCATTTCGCCGAGGTCACCGAAAAATTTCATGACTCAAACGTTTTTTTTTCTACAAGGAAAAAATGAAAATCTTTTGTCTTGAGGTGGATTTCGACTACTTCTTGAAACTAAACAAAAGGAGAGGTGTGCCAAATGATAAAACTACCGAGTGAAGCAAATACCAAAGGGGGGTTTCCACATAAATGAGAAAAAAACTTTTCTCGTTATTTTTACAAACACTGACGCAAACGTTTCAAGTGTAAGCTTCAGCAAACCGCCTTTTTCGAAGATTATGCGCTTCGAACTGTGTTAGCATTAATCTCCTATAAATAACAAATTATAATAGCTTATATATCAACCTGGTTTTACATCTTTTGCTCCTGTCAGGAAGTCATCCGACATATAATCATCCAACTCCTCGCTCATAATTTGACCTAGAGTAAATATGTGATAATAATCACCTCCAATTTATATAATTTAAAAATTCAATGTTTCACAACACTGCATTACTGTCAAAAGAAATCGTACAACAAATTTTATTCATTAAACTGTATCAGTAACATCAAGGATACAAACTGAAAAAAAGTAAAAGACCTGTTGTTTTACTAGTCTACCAACAAGAAGCGCAAATCAGAAACCACGCATTCACAACGGTGACACTTTTACAAATAATAACATATACGAAAAAGATCATAACAGAACGCTTTGCAACATCCAATAAGAGAACAAACGTGAAAATAATTTGGTAAAGATGAACCAACATGTACATTTGAGGACTTCAACGAACTGCATAGGGAATCGGATAATTCAAAAATCGGGAAGAAGCGATTACGGCGAAGTTAACAAACTTCAATGCTGGAGTGGGGCAATACTTGTACTTAAGCTGAATGTTGCGAAGTCATCAATGTCTCTCAGGAACATCGTCATCATCCTGTAATAGACACAATGCTAATACCCACAAAATAACTATCGTACTGACTCCTGAAAATTACCCTTTCAAGCTGGGCTTGCTAATCACATGAAATGTTTATAGCCATAGAAAACTTAGGAAAGAAATGAAAGGAAATAACCTCATGAATCCGCCGCCTCGACTTCGATTTTGAACTTTGATCCACAACAACCTCCACGCCTGTCTTGCGCTCATTGTCACTACCTAAACTGATCGAGTTCGTACCATACCTGGAGCAAAGCGACTAAGTAAAAGTATGTTTCCTTTTCAAACGAAGGGAAGGAGCATAACTGAACGCGCACCTTCTTCGCCTTCCAATTCAATGTACTTGTCATGTGTCCAAACCCCATCAGCTGCAGAGCGTGAGCCATAAGGCCTATTCGGTCCACCATCACGATCTCGCCGTTCATACTATATAGCTCAAAAATGTTCGCGTGTAGCAAAGAGTCAATAATGCAAGTGCTTACGAACCCTGTCTCTGCCGCCATATCCGCGAAACCCAGTGAGCCGATCACGTCTCGGCCCCAGGTCAATTCGTGGATCGTATGCATTACGGCCCCGCCATTGCTTTTCCTCACCGCGATCATCATGCTTGAATTACTATTGCTAATATGACTTCCTCTACAGTTTGAATTGAATCAAGTCAAATCTATGTATATGTATGAAAACTAACACCAAAATAGCTTTTCCCTTTCGGCACGGTAGTAGGATCTATCAGTCTTTGCACAGGCTTACCCTCATCTTCGTGGCGAAACGTTCCTGGATGACATAACGTTTTAGTGTACTGCCATAACTCCGATATGTACGTCAGGTCAAACAGACTACACAATGAGTTACATACCATTGAATCTGCTGCTTTCCACTTCAGGATCGCGCAATGAATCAAATCT